CTCATGTCGATATTCCTTGTAACCTTTCTTGGGTTATTTCCTTTGTCTTAACTTACGTCTCGCACTGGATCCTTATTTATTAATAACAGCTCAGGCAGGAACCTTTACTTCCTCTCCTTGACATCGTGCTTGCACAATTTTCTGGTATCATAGCATGTCTGTAGGATTTGAATAAGTGCAATCTCATCCCTTTTTCGTTTTATTGCATTCTTCCTTTACTATTCCATAATTACTAGAACCACTTAATTTTGACGTAATGTCACGTCATTCTACATTCCCCCTTTTGGGGAGTACTAAGAGTTGGAGCTACGACAATCTGCTTATAGATGTTTTTTTTTTCCTCTTCATCTTTGGCATCCTTTCACATTATCAATGACCCTTACTCGCCTAGCAATAATCCTTCTGGACCAAGGATAACAAAATCCTTACTCACAATGGTGTAACTGGCACATACATTCCCTTAAGCTTAACTTTGCCCCCCTTGCTTGCTTTAGGGAAACATCTTCCTGAATGACCATTCTCTGAATTTCCCATGAATCTTCTTTTGTTGTCCATTCTATTATCGCCGGAACGCGATCTGAAATTCTCATGATGCTGACTTGTATCAAATCACTCAGTTCCTTGCTCATGTTTAGTTTATCTTATTCACCAGTCCATACTGCTTCTATTACTCTAGGGTCTAACTTTTCCTCTTGGTAATCACGCTAGAGTTGCGAACTTATTTCTCGAAATGAGGACATGATTGTATGGCCTATACTCTTTTGTTGTCTTAAGGCCCATCACCTTTCGTCTCTTTCTTCATTTGGCTATAGGTTCTGTAACACTCTACCATTTTCATCCATGTATCATACCTTATTCATAATGCTTCCTTATCTCTCTTCTCATTACTCTGCTAATATTTCTGCATATCCCTTTTCTTGTGAAAACTTCAATACGACATTCTTTTGATTTTAGCTTTCCTTTGCTCCATCCAGTGGCTCTTCAAGTCGCTTAACGTTCTCGCTTTACTAGGGACACGAGCCACACAAGGTAATATTTATCTCTTCAAGGCTTATAGTGCATGTCTTTGTAGTACTCATATCTGGATGCACTATTTCAGAGTGCACCATCTGGGTTTCTTATAACGAGATCTATTAGCCTATTTGCAATATCCTTCGGAAATGTCAACTGGCACAAACAATTCATCCATCATATCTTCTTATACTACTTCTGTTAATCCCTATAGGGCATATCTGGAAGGGGTGCGACCAATTGTATATACCTCTGTTACTATTGAATATAACTCAAAAAGCTTATGTTCCTTTGCCTCAATTATAAACGCTGTTGACCTTCATTAATTGGGCGCCTCGTACCCTTCTTCATCTTGCTTCTTTTGCTTGTTGAAACTTGTATTTACCTTCTTAATCTCTCATTTTCTTTCACTATAAAGATGGATAGACATTCTTGCCTTAAGGCTTCTTATCAGGAAGCTTACACCTTTCAATATACCCATGATCTGCTAAAGACCTCACATTTACTTATCGTAGGCATCGTACAAAAATCCAATTCCTATAACTCAGCTCTTCTACAACTATCTCTCTTTCCAACCTTCTTTCCGGATGTAGGTATCGTCTTATTATGAATAAAAAAGGAATTTCAGAATTTGAATTATTATAAGTGAGCTCTACCACATGATCTAGAGTAAGAAGAAAGAGTGATAATCCTAAATGCCCTGTAGCCTCCTGCTTATAAGTGTGGTGCACAACACACCCATAAACAAGACTCTACTAGACAGGGCTTGTAGACTCCCTAGGACAGAACTGCTCTGATACCACTTTTGTCACGACCCAATCCGATGGGCCGCGACGGGCACCCGGTACCTTACTCAACAGAGTACCAACGTAACGTATCTTTCTTATTACATCATTATATACACGTGACATACAGGCCTAGTAGGCCAACATAATCATTTATAAACTCAAACATAGGCCGACAAGGCCGTACAATTTTTCACGTATACGACATATGTCTACAAGCCTCTAAGAATACATAAATGTCATAAAGGTCAGGATAGAGTCCCGCCATACCAAACAATACACGTCTAAATTATACTAACCAAACAAGCAACTCCGAAGCAAATGGAGCGCACCAACACCTTCGCTGAGCTGATAGCCTAATAGGAGGACTGTCAACCTATCAATCGGGGCCTGCGGGCATGAAACGCAGCGTCCCCAGGCAAAAGGGACGTCAGTACAAATAAAGTACCGAGTATGTAAGGTAGGAAAGCATAGACAAGAACAGTAATGTAAAGAGAGATAGAGGAGCTACAACCTGTAACATCTGAGTGCCACTGGGGACTACCGACATGAAATGCATAATACATATATATACATAAACTTTTAAAAATATTCGCCTCTGTGGGCATCATCATCATCATATCGTACCCGGCCTCAAAGAGGACTCGGTAAAAACGTACCCGGCCATCATAAGGCTCGGTAGAATCATACCCGGCCACGTGGAGCTCGGTAAACCCAACTGATCAGTGGTTGCACAATAGGTGCCATACCCGGCCGTCTATAGCGCGGCTCGGTAGAGTAAAATAGATACATATATATATAATGCATGCTCGACTCATGGGATCACGTTCTAAACCTTTCGGAGTGACGTAAGAACATTATGGACATACATACCCTCAATATGAACTTCACTAGGACTTACGGATCATACATACTTTCTTAGAATAACTTTGTACGGAAAGAACAACATGGACAACCTTAGTTGCTAGGAGTAGATTCATTATGAAATAGCGTATTCATTTCACATTAGATCATGCGAAAAGAAAGAAGGAAATACCTTAACATACCTGTTCCTGGAATTATTTGAACGAATATGCTTCTACGATATATGGACGAAATTTACACCTGGGCGAACTTTAAATCTTGGACGATTTTATTCTGATTCTAACGTTTTTGAACGAAACGTTGGCTAGGAGTCGAATTGTTGAATGCTTGAAATCTTTGAACGAAAATCATTTTGCCTTCTCTCGTTCTTGGTTTAAAAACCAAAGACACAAATGTTTGGAAAGAATTGATCTGATTGGAATGAAGCTTGGACGTTTGGATGAAGTTTGAATTGTTGAACGAAAAATCGTTCTGCTTTTCTCACGTCTTGGTGTAGTTAGCTCCAAACGTTATTTATTCTTATTGTTGAAAAGAGATAAGACTTTAAATGCAAAGTTTGGAATTTGCCATTGTTGTATTCTGTTCCTAATGGCCAACGTTTGGAATTGAATTTTCCAAGAGCAAGAACAATGTTCTGTTCTTTTAAATTGCAAAGTCTAATAATGGCCACTAGTCTTATTTGCTAAGATTCAACTCTTAGTCATTTCCTAATTAGCCATCCGGCCAAAAGTGACTACTTAGTCACTCTCAATTTCGTGGCTTCTTGCCAGTGGGGTGGGAGTTTTATTTTATTAATTAATTTTTTTTTATAAACTTATTAGTTAACCGGGTAATGTCCTATTACCCGGTAATTATCAATTACCCGCATAATTTTAAAAATTATCACAAATTACTTAAAATTATATTTATTTTCAAAATACTTCATACATACTTTATATATTATACTACCGTGCTCATATGGTACCTTGCATGGTACTAGTTCATAATTATCGAGTATTATCGCTCGATTCGTATTTTATTCCAAATTGGCCACTTCCAATGGAACTCGTTTTTGTTAATCTGTGTACCCCTTTATCTTGTATAACACTTATTTATCGCTTGTTATAAATAGCGTAAGTACGTTAACGTCAAGATGATCTCATACGTTAATGAAAAGATGATCTCATCCCGAGTCTACGTTGGTTAACTGAAAACGAAATTTTTAACGTACGAAAATGCGAGATTTAACAGAATATCCCAATGAATTCAAGTAGATACAATATAAACCCACAAAAAATATATCTAAAGATCTGAGAACCAAATTAAATTGAGTTATTAATAGAAAAAAAAAAGAAATTAGAATTTATCAGAAGAAAATCGAGTTACAAACCTGGGAACAAGTGAGCTTACTGTAAGAATAGAGAAATGTACAGATCGGAGCTGACGGAGGTTTCCGGCGAGGGAAGGTCGCCGGAGGTGTGTTCCGGCAATAACATCGGCAATGTGCGACCGACGCCGAGTGGAACAGTTCGACATTGACAGTATCAGCCGATTCAGATCTGTTGAGATGCGGCTGTTGCTATAGCCAGAATTCCAACAGCCGGCGGTACTGTTCTTTGCTAACGCTCGTGCAATTCCTAAATAGCAGCCTTTTAGAGTGGCTACATGGTGTCATTTCTACTGTTAAAGTTCCAAATGATTGAACAATTTAAATTTAATATCTTGCTAAATGTTACCTATTGTATCGTATTGCATTGTTACTTTAAATAAAATATTTGTTTTGATTATTAATTAAATTTTATTGTACTGTATTGTTAAATCTATCACTATGTAATGATGAAAGATGCCACTTTATGTAACTACGACCTATTTGGTGTGGTCGCGTCATTACCTTATTTTTTTCTCTCATCTTGCCATTCTTTTTATTAATAAACTCTATTTTATACGTTACCCTACCTTTTCATATAATAGTTCTACCTCCTACCTTACTTTTTCTTTGCAATATTGCAAGTTTATTCTTTATATTGTTAATGTGAACATTATGAAATAACATCTAACGATACAATCTATCCAAACATTATATACACAAAATAATACAGTACAATACAATACAACCATCCAAACAAGCTGTGAATGTGTAGCCAATCTTTTATATGTCTGAGAAAAACAAATAGTGCACCTTCATTTGGTAAAGGAACCCTTTTGCATTGTGTATCTCATTGACACATATTCAATTGTTCTTTGTACTGGCCAAGTTGCAATATCCAAATCTATTTACTAGATCTAGATCCATTTGCTACTTCCCCCTCCCCCCATTTTTTTTCAACTAGCCGTTAATCCTTTACTTAACGGTCTGATTGTCAAATAGTATTTAATCCTCACAACTTCAAATTCTATGCATTACATTCTTCATACAAATTTTTAGATTCTTCATACACAGATCAAAATTCCAAACCAATGGGTCTATCAATCACCACTTCAGATTTTAAAGAAACTGAATTTCACTCTGATCATCATAGAACTCACAAAATATTCCTCTTTACAAATTATATTCTCTTAGGAGCAGCGTCAAGTTGCATCTTCCTTACTCTCTCCCTCCGGTTAATTCCGTCCCTCTACGGCGGCCTTCTTATCCTCCTCCACGTGCTAACAATCGCCGGTGCAGCTTTTAGCTGCACAGCGATTGTTGCCTCAGCGGGTTCTAACAAGTGGTACGGTGTCCACATGGTTGCTACAGTTTTAACGGCTATATTTCAAGGTTCTGCTTCGGTCCTTATATTTACAAGGACTTTGGATTTATTAGAAAAATTTAATTCTTATGTTAGAGTAGAAGATGGTGCAACGATCTTGAAATTGACCGGTGGATTATGCATTTTGATATTTTGCTTGGAATGGGTTGTTTTGCTATTGGCATTTGTCTTGAGGTACAATGCTTTTGTGGAAGGAAATGGGGGAGTTGAAGGTAGTTCAAGTTTTAGCAGCAATTATAAAGTTCAAGATGAGGACTTGAAACATTGGCCTTGTCCATTCCAAGTCTAAATTCAACTTATTGTACATGCCTATTGAATATATTTATTCTTTACTTATGTTTGAGGTCAATGCTCAAATTTTATGAGTTTTATGTAATCACATTCGTTAATTTATGGTTCGACACATATCTTTCATATATACATTTCTCATTTAATTATGATTAAGTAGTATGCATTCTCACTCTAATTTTTAACTGTTAAGATTTAATTGTTTAATTTTGGCAAAATACATAGTTTACCCATCTACCTTGCACCCAAATCCCTGTTACACACCTGTTGACCACGGGTTTAACGTTACACATCAAACCTTTCAAAAGTGTGGCAATGACACACCACTTTTGACCAGCCTAGTTAATACTCAATGCTGTGTATACACGCGCCTATTTAAATTAAAAACAAACGATTTTTTAATTAAAAATGGACAACCCGACCCAAGCTTAAAATAAATCTCAGTTTACAAGCTTTAAAAATAACAAGATAAAAAAGTAGCTATGTGTCTTCCTCAACACCCCCCACCCCCGGGTTTATCCTCTTCCCCAATCCTACCTTCATGCTGGCTCCTCTTCCACTATCACTTGAACGCCGGCTTCTTCCAACCCACCTCCACCCCTATTATCTTCTCAATAATTTTCAGATCCACCGGTGGCCATAAAACTTATTTTCATCGCTGGAGCAGGGACGAGAATAATGAAAGCTTGACCAGAAAAAGACTGCAAAAGATACAATTAGACCCAAAATTGCAATGAAAAAGAAACAAAAACAACCATTCAAACAAGCTTTGATGATGGATTTCGACTCTAACTTCTTTTAATCCCAGAGATGAGAACTTCTCCGATGGTCGAGAAAATCAGGGCGACAATTACTAAAAAACCACTATTTCACCTAGAATCGGTGATTTTGTTAGGTTGATTTTGAATAATTTTCACCAACCCGATTCAGGATGATTTGGATTTGCAAGTCAAGAAATCGAGATAATGGGCTTCTTAACCATTGCTGGGTTTTCTTCGATTTCTTATTTGGCTTTTTTTTTGGGTTTCTTTTCTGGTAATTTCTTAACCATTGTTGTTGCTTGTTTCTTTATGTTCCTGACAATGAAGATGATGATAGAAAAAAATGAAATAAAAAAAAACTAGATATATGGCGATAAAATGAGGCTTCAAATACTTTTTTTTTATTATTCACTCGCCTGCTTTTAGTGTAAAACACGCGCCTGTCATGGGTCAAAAGTGGTGTGTCATTGACACACTTTTGAAAGGTTTGGTGTGTAACATTAAACCCGTGGTCAACAGGTGTGTAATAGGGATTTGGGTACAAGGTGGATGAGTAAACTATGTATTATGCCTTTAATTTTTGTGTAAACATCGATGCAGAAACCTATATAGTAAAGAGAGGGGTTACTGACCAAAAAATATAGATCTTGGTTCAAATAATTATATTTATATAAATGAGGGTTAATCTTAGTTAACAATAATATCTCTAAGATGGAGTTCTCCAAAGAAGCAACAAATACTATGTAGATATATTCGAATAATGGCGGCAACATGCAATAAATATTCCAGAAATCAATGGCAATAATGTAGCATTCAATATCAATGAATAGCAATAAATGACATTTAAGTAAATAGATATATTCGAATAATGGCGGCAACATGCAATAAATATTCCAGAAATCAATGGCAATAATGTAGCATTCAATATCAATGAATAGCAATAAATGATATTTAAGTAAATAGAATGAATGAGTCACCCAAGAATGAATGGAGTAAGTGAATGTTCTTTCTGACAATGATGAGTGATAGACAATCCTTTGAATATTTGAGTTTTTCTCGGATCTAGTGGAAAAGTATTGACAAGAATTTTCGTGAAAAAGTGATGTTTGTATATTAGCAATGAGATCTGATTCTCTTTCTCAAGTCAAAGTGTATTTTTACAAATGAATATCACATGTCTCCTATCATTGTATCTTTTTCTATTTATAGGGAACATGCTCCTAAAAAACCCTAATAGTACAAGTGCAGAGAATATCCACTAAAATATTCTCTTTAATATCCTATCTTGAAATTGGCCGTTATAACTCTATCAAAAGTACTCGACCTTTGTTGACTCCTAGACTTCGGCCCTTGTTGGATCTTTGACCATAGACATTGCCGCTTCTTGGGTCATTTCGACAAACGACGACTTGGGAACTCTTCCCCTAGTACTATCTTGGCTTAAATATTCTAAAGATAGATTTTGACCCATACAGTTAGTCCATCCGCTTATTGAGGCCGGCTTCAGGCTGGTTCGATGAGCGGATCTTGTTCTTTGTGGTCGAAACAATCGAGCGAGCTATGCAGGTCGTGATGGTTGCGGCGAACTGGCAGCGTGGCCCTATGTGGGTCACACATTTCAAACGCTTCGATTTTCCCAGGCGATTTGCTGGAGTTATGTTGTCCACGAGTTAGGATGATGTCATGATGTCATACGTCATTATGACGCATATTTCTGATGCGTTGCTTCGTTTCACGTCTGACCTCTAACTAGACCTGCCACTTCGGTTCTCATGCCAGTAATGATGAGCCATTTTCGATTCTAATGCCAAGACCTTTATAAATAGAGGTATTTGGACGCGATTTTGAAGTTTAAATTTTCTGTTGTTTCGAAATCCCATACTTTTCTCTTGCTCTCTTCTTGCTTCGAACTTCTCTTCTCTGTGCCAGTGATTTATATTATTCTTAAACTCCTCATTTGACACCTCTCTTTCCCACATCAAACTATGTATAACATACCTTCTGAGTCTGGTGAGGGAAGTTGTGTGGCCCCCTCGGCAGTGGTGTTTCCCTCTCATGGGGAAGGTGCTTCTGCCATTGTTGAGGATGAAACATTCCCGTTAGTGGAGGAGATAATACCACGTAATCCCGATTTCAGGTCCGACCTTACCAAAGTACCGGATGGTGCACCTGAAATTTTAAATCACTGATGACGCCTAAAGAATTGGCGAAACTCAAGGCTAAATTCGGCCTCCCTAGCCATGTTGAGCTGATCCCAACCAAAGGGGACGTGGTACAAGTACACCGCCCTGGGTACTGTGCCCTCTATGCTATCCCTTCCTCATCGGCTATTATCTTCCTCTCCTCCCGCTAGTAGAGGAATTTTGTCGCCACTATGGTGTTTGCCCGGCTCAGCTTGCACCGTATGTCTACAAGGTAATAAAGATGTTGACCAAATTTGCCGAGCTAGCTGGGGTTGAACTGACACTACGACACTTGATACACCTATTCGCCCCAAGCTTTTATAGGGGAACAATGTTGAACCTTCTCCACCGAGGAGGCAAGTACTTGGTGGTAAAGATGGACGACAAAGCTAACTGTCAGTTTTGGCTTAACTTCTTCTTCGTCAGGACCGATGATGTCGTGGCCAACGTCGACGGCTTTCCCGGAGCTTGGAACTACACTCGTGAGTGCCCTGTTTCCTTCTATTTTTTTCTTCTGATTCTGAACTTTGATCGATGATGATTTTTTTTCCCTTTTGTAGCCAACAATCAACCTCCTTCTCTGGCCCCTTATATTTCTGACTGGGTCGAGCGACTCCTCTGTCACATCTTGGGAATTCGTGATTAGCCAAGTTTCTTCAAGAAATTCGGGCCTGCTCTCCCTTCAACTGGTAATTTCCTATCTTTGGTCGTGGTCACTCCGTTTCTTATTTTATGCGGGTTCATTTTGTTGACTTAGTATTGTTTTTTCTTAGGTAGGGGCTCTCGGAGGAGCCGGGCACCAGTGCCTTCTTTTCGTAGGGCGGCTGCTGCCTTCTCGACTTTGGCTCTTGTTACGACCACTACCTCTTCCGTTCCGGTCTCGACCTTGGCTACCATAACTCGGGAGCACGTCTCCATTCCTTCTGCGGCCCCTGCTCCTGCTAATTGATTTGGAAGATGCCTCTCATGAGGACGGTGGTTTGATGCCACGTAAGAGGAGGGCTATGGACGCCGCCGGGAGAGACCAACAACAGTCGTCATAGGGGATAGTGGCTTTGTCCTTCGGGAAACAACCATAGTTGATAGCATCCATGGCAGCTCAACATCATTAAAGGAGAAGGATGAAGCTCTGGAAGCTCCAAGAAGGCCCATGACAAGGTCTCAAACAAAGAAATTTCAAGACAAGCTTAATGGGCTTCAATTGGCAATTAAAAAGTGTCTTATAATAGAAGAAGAGGTCCAGCACAAGGAGGATCTTTGGGCCAAGTCTTACAACTATTTGGAGGCCCAAATTAAAGTCCAAGAGGAGATGGAATGAGGCCCAAATATGCCCTAAAAGAGGAATTTTCAGCAGCCCAAATAAGCCCAAAAAAATAGTTTCTAGAATATATATTTAACAGTTGTTTTAATCTATGTTGACTTGCATTGGTCTATGTGTGTGTTGACTACATTGGTCTTAGTGTGGGTAGTCTTCTATGCTTCTAGGGAATATAATTCTTATTTATTAAAGTCTTGACTAGCTCCTTTTTTACTACTATATAAAGGGGTGCTTGTCTTTCATTGTAGAGAAGAACATTGAAGATTAATATTATTATTGTGAGTTCTTTTGAACCTTTGTGAATTTTACTTTGAGATTTATCTTGCAACCCTAACTATTTCATAGCTTAAGGTAGTAAGATAATTTTCTTTCTTGTGATATCTTTGGTTTCTTTTGATATTCTTTGAAGGCGACTAGTTTCTTTTACTAGTTGTTGTCGTAAGTTATTCAAACTAGAAGTCAAGATCCGAATCTAGTTCTTGATTAGATTATCTCTAGTGAAGGCATTTGGTTTCAAATTAAATTGTTGTCATTAGGATTTTGTCAAAATCTAGATTAACATAATCTCGGGGTTCTTGGACCTTTCCTTGAACTTCCACATATCTAGTTTATTTTTCTTGCTTTTCTTAATTCGATTGCATTTCTTTACTGCTTCCGCATTTCATCAACTTATTTTATTTATGTTCTTGGATCTCCTAACCTTTGTGTTATCAACACTGCATATCAGAGATAGCCCAGAGGCAAGTCCTGAGGCTCCTTGTTTGGAGGAAATGAGTGTGCGTCCTATGGGGGAGGCAGCCGAAGGAGTGGTAAGCAATGACGACCTTGTTCTCTTGAGGCGCGGAGGG